ATATATATATATATATATATATAATAGTAACAATAAAAACAGGTTTCAAACATTCATTATTTGATATTATTAGTGTAGGGATTCAAAGAGCATCGAACGAGCGTTTTCTGCGATTAAATTCGTTTTTTAAGTTGTTTTTTGTACTATCCTCATGTGCCCGTTCATCCATTTTCATCGCAGTCTAACGCATCCCTCTTAAGTAACGTATATCTCTGATGTGATGCTGTTCAGATCATTTTGAATATTTCTTTTTTTCTGAAAATTTTGTCCGTAAATATCATCAGCCACGCAGCAATATTATTATTCGTTGAGCATAAATGCATTACTGTCGTTTAGCTAGAACCACTGGGAATATATTATATTTATGTGCATATGTATGTGTTATTTCATGAATTTCAAAATGTCAACTGCATTAGTTCGTCAGATATTCAAATTCATTTTGCTATCTTCGTAATTATTATTACTTTTTGTCATCAGTATTTGCGGATTTGATTCAGTAGGAAATTTTGTATTGCTCAAATATGGATAATTAAATCAAATGCATAGATAAAATTGAAATTGTAATGTGTATGATATGGTATTTAAGGTAGTATTTGATTTGGTATTGTTACGTTCACATAACTGTTGTATTGAGTGTTGTGTATTTAGATATACCTGTACGGTAAGTGAATTTATTTATTTGCTCTCGGTGCTTAGTTCTTTGTTGAATTAGGATGTCCTTTCTCATTCTTATTCTTGTGCAGTTGACGGTGAATGAAAAGTAAAGGGTTGGAGATAAAAATTGCTGCAATTTTACATGAGGATATGAAGTTAAAATGGTTGCAATAAAGAAAGATATGTATAACATCAGTTGAGAACATATAATTTTGTTACATAAAGAAATTATAACGCTAAACAGTCATCATTAATAGTCCTGTTGAATTCGTTTGACCTATTCAGTGGTTAAATTCAATTCACAGACGACATTCCTTTTGAATTGGTGTGTTGATGCGTTTTTTCATATATTAATTATTATTCGCATATTTATCTATTTACATATTTCTTCATTTATTATTGACGACCGAACATTTATTCCTATTTGTTATTCATGTCTATTGCGATTCGTTCCTTCTGCGTGCAACTCCTCTTTGCATATCACTTACAAACTAACACACATTTTCTGTTTTCTTCGTTGGCGAACTTCTTGATTCTTTAAATTTTATTTCAGTTCCTTGTGTGTTACCGAGCCATCATTTTTTTAATCGAATGGTAAAGACAATGAAAAATGTCGATTTCAGTGACGTTCCAGTTAATGTGAAATCAGGTTGGCCCGTTGCACATTCAGTGCTTCTAAACAACGGCCTTGCGCCAGTGTATATGTCCTGTAATACCGTACCAACCTCTTCTTCTTCTCCGACTCCTTTGTATTCGGATCACGGTATTCATTTTCTTATGTTATTACTATTCTGTTATTGTTTTTTCGTTCATCTTTCTCTTGGTTATTCACTAATAATTGCATCATTGATCGATCATAAAGGAATAACTAATCGAATTCAAAAACCAACATTCATGTAACACGAATCAGAGACACTCTGAACTGGGATGCGTTTGTTTTTGAAATCATTTGCGATGAAACATGTTTAATTGTGATATTTGACATCGCTAATAAATGAAACCATTACCCAGACCTCGTTTGAAACCATCACTCAGGCTTCGTTGAATTTAGCATTATATGTTGGGTGAAATTAATAATTGAATGCGATCTTTTCATGTTGATGAATGATTATTGCAATTTAATATATGGGTGTGTCTTTAAAGAACTTATCGAACGACAGCAGTTCATTATTGATTGTAGTTATATTCCCGTTGAGTTATAAAATAATTTAGTGATTGTCTGATTGTAAGATAATCCAGTGAAACGGATAATTCAGGTCGTCCCATAATGGCACCAAATCTGGCACAACGAGCCCCGTTGCCAATGTCTAGTAACGACCTGTTTGTACATATACAGACCGGTGAAGTACTCTCGATATTAGTCGGTAATGATGTTCAACATATTGCTGGTTGGTTTTTAGTTCAATTTTTATGATGTCGTTAGTTTTTTTGTCGTTTTGTGATTTCCTTTTTTGCATGATTATTCGTCATTTTAGAAATCTTTTCACTCTTGCCACTTATTACATTCATTCTTTTCATCACTGTTATGTAATTGTTTTATGTGCAAACTCATTTTCATCTGAATTAATTAGTTTTCGAAACTGTAGTCATAAATACGATCAATGCGACGGTTGATTTGAGACTGGTGCAATTTATGATGATATTCTCAGCTTGTAATTGTATCTTCTCTGCTCTTAAGCAGTTTCATTTTGCATTTGTAATCAACATTCGAGAGTTGTTGTGTTGCTGTTGTGGTTCAGTTGATCAATTCAGTGAATGTGAAATAAGTAATAACATGAGCAGTGAATATGAATAATGGATGAGTAAAATTAAGGACCTGCCACCGTTCGAATGGTAAATCAAGCAGGTATGTCCCCATCAGCCCTTCCACTACATGTGCCACCTGGTCATATGGTGCAACAAATAGTTGATGAACAGGTTACTGTTGCTATAATTTTTTTTGCCATCATTTTTTTCATTCTTGCGTTGTGTTGTTATTTGCACTTAGTTCAGTTGAATAAATTTATTGCTCTATCGTAGCAATAGCAAATGAAACGTTGTTGAAATGAATCTGAAAGCGTAATAACAAAATTTTATTGATACTGATACTTTTTATCATTGGTATCATTGGTACCCTATAAAATTATCGTTTTTTAAAGGGTATTCTACGTCATCTAATTTTATCTCCGGAAACAACGCCCACGTCACGTATTAATGCGGTATACTTTTGATTTATTTCATTCAAGAATTTGCCCTATAAAATTATCGTTTTTTCTTCAAAATTTGGAATTTTTTATTGATGTTTCGATTGTACGGTAAATTCATTTACACGATGGGATTATTAGTGCGACTGATAATGTCTGAAATAATTCATTCATTTGTTGGTTATTTGACGACCGCTTTGTCATAGTTGGTTATCATTGGTTCGTATAGTTTAACCACATTTTTTGCGTATTGCCTGGTTTGATCATAATTTTTTGTTGATTCAGTGCTAACGAAGAGTGTTTTCTGCATCCAATTAATTAAACCACTATTCAGATAGAAAGTATCTAACCAAGAATATTCAATATTGTTTTTATAAAGTATGAATTCCATAAACTTTGAATGTTGTTATTACATAGTGTCATGTACTATGAATATGACAGTGACATCATTTTAAATGAACGACAAATCAAACGAGCGGTTGAAGCTTGTTATCCGTATGAGTTGTCTAATTGACCAACTTCATATAAATATGTATTTTTAAGTACGTTAAAACATAGGTTTTCTGTTGATTTCATAAATTTCATGAATAGTACTCGGTAGTGTTTGTATACCGTCTTTTTATTCGTCATTCGAAAAGCGCATAATGCTCTCGATGTACTTGCTTACAGCTAAGTTTACGAGCATATCGTTTCGGTGACATCATATCACATCATTGCAAGTATCAACAGCATTCGTCATAGTCATTCAGTAGCCGACATCAGTCAATATAGAGCAACGTTAATGATATGCATACATACTCCGTATACACAATCGCTAGAAAGCCTAGATATTGCATATAGCAGAACTATCAGAGTAAAAAAAAAGTATTAGTTGATGTCATCTTGTTCGTAGTCGGGTTATCTTAATTGCAAATTGATTTTAATCTGGGGGTTTTCATTTATTTGTACGTATTCGTGTATAAATTGGGTCAATATCTCAAGAATATTCAAACAAGTAGATCATTACAAGTTGATTCGGTGCGAAAGTGTTTTGTGAACGCTGAAAATAATGTTGAAATTAAATGGGATGAAATTACTTCTGATAACTGGCAGTGAGTAAACTGTTCGGATGAAAAAAAGAAATTGAGGTGCGACAAAGGAATTTATTAAAATTTAATGTAAGTATGCAAAATTCGAAGTTATTTCAAGCAGTATTTTCTGATTGATATCTGGAACAATAAGAGGTCATTAGTGTTTATTTTATCTTTATTCGTTGATTGAAATGATGCGAGACTTTAACGCAAAAGAACGATACTCATATAATACTCATAATTAGTAACTACATAATTATTGTAGTAACGGGGATAAATGCAGTAATGAAACAATCAAAACAGTCACAGTGTCGGATATGACGAGTGAAGAATGAGTGTTCATGATCTATCAGCATTTATAGGTATGCACAAGTGCACCGTCAACAATAAATACCACTCCTTCATCGAATCCAATCAGTAATAATCAAATGAAAACTTATTTGCATCAGTCACCATCGCCACCTGTTGTTCCACCTTATCCTCCACCCAATATACCGTTTACGGCACCCAGTAATACTGCTGATCTTAATGAAGGTTGCCATTAACGTTATTATAAGTACTATTTTGTTGTTGCTGTTCACTCTAAGAAATTTTCAGCATTTTGTTCTTCATGTTCCGNCCATTAACGTTATTATAAGTACTATTTTGTTGTTGCTGTTCACTCTAAGAAATTTTCAGCATTTTGTTCTTCATGTTCCAAAAATTCGTTACGAACATATTTGATTTTGTATCACTAATGTTCCTTGTTGGAACTTTTTACCAGCATCACTAAAATAGTCACAAATAGTGTCGAGAAGTCCACTGAAACAAGAGCAACATTTTTATGCTAAAGAGCCTTTGAATTGCAGAGGGTATGGTGCGTAAAAGCTGGGTGCCACACGGTAAAAAAGCCTCATCGTCATTGTCTGCAACACATTTGAACGGTGCACATTTAATTCATGTGCCGTACGCTACTGCTGATGAACATGTATCTTTTTTATTAGTTCCTTGTCATTTTTTGATTTCATTCGATTACTTTCAGTTGTTTTCCTCATTTTGTTTCCGGTTTATTCATTCACACTCACCGCTTTGATAGTGGTATGCATAAGTTCGTTTTGTGTTTCTTTTTCGCCTTGTCGCCATATGATTANATCGATCATCAAAAGAACAAAAGGACTGAAACTAGGATTAGTATGGGATAATAAGGATCAACGTTTTAAGGAACAAAGTCAGTCGGGTGCATCGGCAAATGAAGAAGAGGAATGGGAAAGGCTTATTGAAATGTTATCGCGAATGCAACCTCCTCAGGTGACTTTCATTGTAATATCATTTATTTCAGATTCAATTACAAATTTTAAATTTTTCAATTTCACATCTCATCATCTTATTGTTTAATCTGTTATTGTGTCGTTTTTTAAACCGATTTTGAAAAAATAATGCAGAATGCGTTCCATATCCGTAAACCTTTATGCCATCCCGTTAGATCTTTTACGCAAGTATTGTTTTTGATTTGACATCAGATATCAATATTGTTTATGTGCGTATGCTTCTCAATTTAGCTGTGATGCCGTATTCGATGAATGACATGAAATGAATGAGCACTGAATATGATAAAAGTATCCATATAACATTTGGATGGTACATATGCAACTTTGCGGAGTGAATAATGTATAAGTATGGTGATTTAATAATGATAAATTATAGATTTTACGAGTTGCCGCAAAAGAAGCGGACATTTCATGGCAAGAATTGGATACATCCGAAGCATCGGCGAATGGTGGACCCTTCCCCCAAATTGACGCATCTGAATTTACTTATGAAATTGTTCTTTTCGAAAGTGTACAAAATGGTCGTATTGTTAGTAGTTATAGGTTAGTTTTTAACCGCTTTCATATTATGTTGTTTTTTGTTGGGAGGATGGAAGTCTTGTTATTCTTAAAGCAGTTAATCCTCGTAATAGTTTCATCAGTGATTCTGCAATCTTTTGATGAAAATGTTCTCAAAACATTAATTCGCTTTATAAGTTATTTTCTTATGGGTTGCAATAATGCTCTGAAATGGAAGTGATACTTATAGATGTGAGCCGGATTCGGGCAATCGTGTACGTTTATGTCGTCTACGACCAAATACAGATTATTATGTGCACTTGCGGGCCTCGTTAGAAGAGCGATGTCTACAGGGAAGTCCGTCGTCAGCAGTCAAGTTCAGAACATTGTGTACTGTACCCGAATGTCCTCAACCACCGCGTTTGATATCAAAAACGCAACACTCATTAACTATCGCATGGCGTCCGGCCATCGATAATGGTTCACCGATCATTTTATATCGAATTCAAATTGCTGTCGTTAGTCTTTTTCGCAATTTCATTTGATTCTTATCACTTGGTTATTCTTCATCAGTGTTNATATGTAGTCGCTAAAAAATCCATAGATTGAATTTATGCGAAATATATGATGTTGGAAGTGTTGGCACCTGATGAAATCGTATTTTACTTAGTAAGCGTGTAACTATTACATGGAGTTTTGTTTCCCTGGAATTCAAAACGGATTCAAGGAGTTCCATTCTTTGCTCGTGAACGTTACATAAGACTAGGAATTATAAAAGTTCTTAGAATACGTTTTTTGCACCGTTAATCCTCTGAAACTTTCAACAGTCTGACCTTAAACCTAGAAAATTGCGGTGATTTCGCATGCCAAAACGGCAGAGGAGCATAACTGAAGGGTCGGCGATCTTAGGCATGCGTGCCATTATTCGTTGGTCGCATGCTCTTTATTGCAAGAAATTTTTTGTGATGTTGCCATAGAAAGTATTTATGTGAAAATATTCTCGATTATGACATATCCTTATGACACTAAATGCAATAGATTTGAAATTAATGCCTCATCGTTGTTATTTTAATGTTGAAGGATAAAAATGAAGAGGAGAACGAAAATGACTATGAAGTGGTATATGAAGGATTATCGGAACAGACAACAATAAAAGGACTTTTATCATCAACCCGTTACAAAATACGACTAATCGCAATCAACAGTGAAGGTGAATCACAACCGAGTGCATCATTTACTATTGTCACATGTCCAATACATCCTCCCAAACAACCTCTACCCCCGAAACTTGTCTCGTTGTCATCAAATACTGTCAAATTATCATGGGTTGACATCCCTCAACATTATTATACGGTTCGTTCATTTTTCTGTTATTTGCACATTAATTTGTTCAGCTGTTCGTCATTTCTAGTTTCTCAATTGAAAACTCTGAGGAATTGGAAATTATCGTTGAGAGGAAATGAAAGTTTGAGTTGAAACAATATGAGATTCCCAGTAGGCAATTTATTCCTACATTCATCCATATAAATTTCTTGAATGTGAGTCAGTGAACAAGTTTAGTGAATTATGGTGATGTTTTGTATGCTCTGAATTGTATTAAGCATTTTTGAAATAATTCTCATCGTTGCAAATGATTATGATTGCAAATGATTGAATGAATGATTCCTAAGTGGCAGTTATTTTCGAATTTTGTTTAATAGTAGAATAAGGAATTGAATATACATTTCAGTTAGAAATGTCAGATGCAACAAGATCGAAAGAATTCACGTCTGTCTGTGAACGAGCCCAGCAATCTTCTGCAAATATCACTGACCTTTCTTCGTTAGTTTCATTATTATTGTTATTATTATCTTCATTCCATGATTTTTATGCTTTTATTGTACGCTATATTAGATGCGGCAATATTTTCCACCTTATATGATTTTATTCGTTTATTTGAGAATTTGATTGTTAAATCAATCGGTATTTCGATATAAGTGGTTGTTAGTTGTGTTCGTATATCTGCTTCTCCGGTTAATACATGTGGGACAAGTGTATTAAGTTGATGTTCCTCGATCAAAACTTTCTGTTCATGTAAGATTATGTTTAAGAACGAACATCAGTTCAGTTCAAAGTATTCAGAATGCTCAAGCAACTACTTATTGCATCAGAATGATCTCGTCAATTTGTAGTAATGATGGTATTGGTGGTGACAAATAATTCGATGAAAATTTCAGGAACCATGTCTATCATTTTCGTTTGATAGCACATAACGATGCAGGTGCGAGTGACGTATCAGAAGCTTTAATTGTCCGCATACCACAAATTAATAATAGCGACACCAATGAAAATAACAATAATAATGGCAACAGTAATAATATAACACCGCCTGATTCACCGTTGAAACCATTTATCATCTCAAATGTTAAATCAAGGGTTGAAATTGGTTGGAATAAACTTAAATCAAATGGCAATAATAATAATGTAAATTTTGTACTGGAGGGGAGTTATAATGAGCAACAATGGAATGTTCTTTATAAAGGCAGTGCGACGAGTGCACTTGTCAGAGATGGTCAGCTGAACACATTCCGTGTAGCTGCAATTAGGAAACAAATTCAGGTTTATTTTTACTTCTGTTTTTTATCATTATTTTCAATCATAATACTACTGCTTGTAGTAGAAATATTATTGGCATCATTATCAAATTTCTCGCAGTGTTAGTCACATGAAAACTTACAGACTTGAAGTTTTTTTAATTTATCGGCTAATTTTCCGGCATGTTTCTGATGATATGGATAATAGTTCAAGAAAAATCAGGAGATAATGTTCTTTGAAAAATGGTTCACATCCTATCTAAAGTGCCAATACCATTAAGTGAACCGATATTAATTCAGAGTGAATGGAGTGAAATATTGAAAATCAAGAGAGAACAACCAACGTCGTCGTCTTCATCGAAGCAACAACAACAGCAAATGGTTTCAGTTGGTAAATGTTCAAAACCAAAAATAAATGAAGTATCCAAAGGATGTATTCGGGTTGAATGGCAATCGCCACTACAAAAGCAACAACAAAATCTATTATCCCGTTATGATATTAGCTATCAGTTACGGCGCATTAATGTTCAACCAACGAAAATCCTATATCAGGGTATTGATTTATTTATTTCCGTTAATTTAGTATTATGATCAATATATTCTACATGTTAAACCGTTTGAAGTGTTGGGGTCGATAATGTAGCACATCTTCTCGTTCATCCGAACAAAACTAAGAAATGTTTGCAACCACCGTATGCAAACAGAACTGAACAGAGAAATATTTTCAAGTCATAAACTGTTCTCTCCTACGGATAATTTTAGTAAAATCATTAGTGTTGTGATGTTTTGGGTCTTACATTGACCGTGATACTAGTACTAATAGTGATAATAATAAATAACAATAATAACAGTATTAAAAAGAATGAATTAAGGTGAGTCAACATCTTTCGATATAAAGGAGTGTAAAGCAGGAGATGAGTTCGAATTGGATGTACGTGCGATATTGGCCGAGAGAGATGGTGCCTCGAAGAGGATTTTTGAGGGAGAGTGGAGTGATATGGCAGCTCTAAGTATCCCAATACAAGCTCCATCGCCGCCACAAGATATCTCATTAGATTCGAAATTTATTATTCATTGGAATAAACCTGCTAATGATAACGGTGCATCTATCACTCAATACCTTATTGAACGCACTCTTCTTAAATCGTCATCTACAAGGTTCAACTATTCGTTATTGTTATTGGTATTTGTACTATAATTGTTGCTGTTACCGTTTTCATTATTCCTAATACTTTAAACGTGTTTTAACAGCATTTTATGAAGGGAATTTTAGTGCAAAGTCAACTACGCGAAATGATGAAAAAGCCGAAGAGAAAGAAGAAAACGGATGGATGAAACGATATAAACGTAGCGATGAATCGAACGAGGAATATGTTGGTGATGGTAAGCCGGGCTGTAGATATCAATTGTGTGTGTACGCGATTAACCAGGCTGGTACTAGTTTACCGTCCGAGTGTGTTTATGTCACTATACCAACGATGCCACCGTCGATACCGCAATCTTTTAGTGTTGCACCTCAAGGTTCGTTTTTATCTATTTCCACTGTGTCTGTGGTCAATTCAACGTTAATTCGATCAGAAGCTTTATTACATTTGCTCAAGTTGACTGAAAATA